AATAAATTTGGTGCCAAGTCTCTTCACCTAGGCAGAGTCATGAAGAGGGGATGGTGCCAAACATTACCAAAACATTGACTACGAGGCAATTAAAAGATAAAGTAAAAGACAACTCTGCATAAAATCGTCCAAATTGAAGCCAATAAAAAGTATATGTGCGCCTTATAAAATCTTTCTATTGCGTTGTTGTAAATATTTGATAAATATAATATACTCCCCGTCACTCAAGCGATTATAATAAAAACACAAAATTCATTTGTCATAGCGAGCTTATTGTGCTTACATTATCTTAATAACATTCGCGTTAACATTTTAATAACAATAACGTCAATGGTCGGCGGAATTGCGAATTACTATTTGAATGGCATTCTTGCGATTGACAATTGCTGCCTCGGACGCCAAGTGCCAATAACAAAGGTAACAATCCAAGTATGAACCAGACTAAAAAAGACTTGTTAGCCTACACACATGTAGATGTAGGTATGAGCTTATTACGCTCTCGGAAAATGATATAATTTTATGCATTTGAATACATTATGAGCTTTTGTTCGTTTTTTTCTTATTTCTTTTTTCTTTTTGCTTTTTCGCGTTTCTAAATCCTTACTTTAACTAATTCAATGGGTTTATGCATATTCTTGCAATGTTTTTGTTTTGCTTACTAGGAGAGAACTTTTTTGCCATTGTTCGTTCTTACTTTTTTCTTTTCTTGAAATCTATTTCTGAGGTGTGTACGCTCGTGTCAAGTCATTATTAGCGACACAGTTTTATAAGAAAGTGTTGAATAACAATAAAATTTGTTTACTTTAGCCATGGTTCAGTGGATAAACAATTGCTTGTTTTTTTTCTCTTAATCTGTTCTTTTTCTTTTTGCTAAGGATTACAATTCTTACAGACAACGCGAACAGCATTTCTTGGTAATAAAATTTTACAATGAATCAATTTGTAATCGCAATTTGATATCAAGTTGAGTAAAAACAACTAAGAAAGTTACGTTCGCCTTGAACCGAATCTTTTGTCCCGTTTATCTTATGCTAATACGTAAAGACTGCTAACACTTTTGCTCTTTATGCCCATGATGGGAGTTGCGGATCAGAATTTTTTTTTTTATATTAATCTTAGGAAATTCTTGTATATCGCTTTCCTACGTTGGTTGTGTATGCAAAAAAAAGGCATGAGAAGCCATGCGTATATCTCTTCTTCTTACTATTCAAAGCTGATGTGTATTCAACTTTATCGCTTGGGTAGGGATACTTCATTCCCTAGATTTCCAGGTGGCATCAATAAATTGTTAAGTAATTTCATAGTGATTTTTGCTGAGCCCCGCATATTACAGCGAAAGCTAAAATACATTTCTAGAGTATTCTCTATTGAAGGGAACTTTCTATGGCAAGAAGGCTATCACTCATAGTGATGTCACTAATTTCGAAGAAATTTTAAATTAATTTGCATACCCTACGCCACTTGCGGTACAGGATATTTTCAGTTTGTCCGAGTGTGCTTTTGCCCTACACCGGTTATACTGATCGATTCAGAATCACTTAAGCTGTGTTGTCTATCCGTCTGTCCATGTATTCTTGTATACAGGCCGCAATTTTTGAGATATTTTGATGAAATTTGGTGCACTGACGTATGTTAGCCCAAGGACGAACGCCATTGGAAATGGCACGGATAGAACAACTTTTACAATGACTTCCTATATAAAATCCCTATTTTGAAGAATCGTTATATGACAACCTGTAGGACAAGTAGTGGTGGGTTGTGGCCCACTATAATGTTTTTATTTGCCAATGATTTGTCAGTTATTTTCCATGCAGGCCCAACTAATTATACGACAACGACATCTTCGCATATTTTTTTTTTTTTACTTTTATTAAAGATTGTTTTTAACTTTTTATAAAAGAATTTCCGTAAAATTAATTATAAAAAATTTTTTTTAAAATTTAACTTAGACTTACACTGCTAGGTTGAGAAGAATCATTCTTATAATGCAAACTAGAGAGTCATTCAAAAATTTTATATCAAATCATTAAATCATGCATGTGTCTGTAAGATTTATTAAATATGTATATGAGTGTACGCATGTAAGTACACGCACATGCGATTACAAACAACGAGGCAACTCAGCACTTATGTATTTATGTTAAGACAAGATCTAAGATAATTGCACACAACACAAAGACTTCGTTTTAAATTACACTTGAAGCGTGTTATGTGCACAAACGTTTCTAAAGTTTAACATGCTGTTTATGTATGTGTGAAATTCGTAGCATTTCAATAAATTTTGCAGTATTCATGCACATGCATACGCAGTTAAGAATTCATAAAGATTTATCATTTTTAGCAATTTGTTGCAATTTAAACAATAGAACGAAGAAAATCTGGAGCAAACATTTACATGAAATTAAGTACGAGATTAATGATATAGAACGGATCTCTTATGTGCCATGTTCATTAGTTCGTAAGCGAATTTACATATACTTATAGGAATCGGAATATTAATAAAACACATTATAAATAAGTGGCACACCGTCGTTAGAGCATTCTCTAATACAAGCACCCCAGCACCCAAGAGAAATTGCTTAATTGTGCCTTGTTACGGGAAATGTAGTTTAGTTCTCAGACTTGATTTGTGGAAAGTGATTAAAAAGTTTCTTACTTTTTCTAATGGCAGTTGAAAGCACCTTTCATTTTCTTTACCACCAACCGCATGATTCTTTGTTTAAAATCGCAGCGCTGTCAGAATATCCTGCGCTTTTGCAATCAATTAGACATTCAGAGGATGTCCACTGTATGTGCATGAAGACCGTAGTGATGATGAGAGAGAAAGGAGCGAGAGAAGATCGCAGCCTTGGAGTTATATACGCGGGCAGTAATTTTTGTGGCTTTGACCGAGGCTGGCATTCACTATAGCTGTAGCCACATTTCAATTTTATCGAAACTTGATGGTCGTGCTTCGTAACTAGCTCGGCAGCCCGATAATCGAATTTGAATATGAAGTGTATGACTGTACCTTTTTTTTCTCTTTTATTACTATATTTTCTCATAATTAACTGTTGTGCACAACCGCAGACACATCAATAGCAAAGATTTCACCATAAGCGTAAAAACACTATAGTTGAACACGGCCTACCATTAAATTCTCTACATAACGCTTCAGTTATTCACATAACGATCTTTTCTGTAGGTTGAACACGAAAAACAAGCCGGACGGATGGACTGCCAGATTCACAAAATCGATCGGTGTAATAAAAACTGGGTCTATCGCAAGCACTTTTGGGTGCTATACACCACTGCCTAAACTTAATACACCACCTTTCCACAAGTGGTGTAGGGTGGAACAAATCTCAAGATATAAAAATTTTTCATATTTCTTTGGCTTGTACCTCTCTTACTTAGTTATAAATTTAATTTCAGAAATTCGGCGAACATAGAAATATTTCCAAACTACAACAAATTGTGCCAAACCCAAAAAATAGTTTTTTTAGTTAACCTTTATTTAATATTTCCTGTCGTCTATGCTGTTACGACTTCATAACTGACACCTACGCTTTCGATAAGCTTTTGAAATCTCGCTGCAGAATATTAACTTATCTTGATACGCTCACCGTTATTTAAAAATAGTTTTTTTTTTGCATTCTTTGCCTTTATACAATTTCTTAGTAGATTAGTATACCGGGGCTGTGCGCTGGCCCTTTCAAAACTTAGTTACAGAATGCTTTGTTTAGTTATCTTCCACAAATATTGCATTTCGTAGCATAGACTGAAAAAGCATTCGAACCGGGCCCTTTGTCTCTCTTCAAGGATTCCAATTCGCCCCAAGAAAAGGTACCAAATGCTATTTCCCCACCTCCATACAAGTTTACTTGTTTCGTCGCTGCAGTCTACAATGCGTGTTTATGGACGACGGACAGACGTTACGCCATGTGACACTTTGGGAATGAAAGGAGTAATTTTCCTAAGTGTTTATTTCCGTGTTTTGTTTTCATTTAACTAGATAGTAATTCCTGTCAATTTAATGGAACTACATCCTCCCCCCTTCCCCCACGTACCGTTTTTTTTCTAATACATTTTAGTTACGTGAACGTATTAGTCGTTTTTTTGCCTTTTTCATGGTAATTCTCCTTTCTTCGAGAGCACATGGAAGTCTCCTCTCAATTCTAGCCAACACTATTGAGTAATTCACAGCTCAGTGTACCCAATACTAAAGAATGTTTTATTGAAAAGCTGCGTATTTGTGCTATTTCTATGGACTCCTCATGATATGATTCTCGGGGACTCTTCATAAATACCATACACAGTTCGAATGTTCGTTTGGCTGCATAAACTTTTATTTTTTCAGTCTTGTGTATGACATAAGAAAAAGGCCTTTTCACACTAAGTTTTAAATAATTAACGTAAAGTCGTATTTTCTTCATAATATTTAAAAAAAAAATCCTGAAAAAATTCGACTTTAAGAGACGCTATTTAACCGAGCTTTGTTACCCTTTTTGGTTTGTGTCTCTGCTAGTCAAATTTAAATACAACTCCACAACCTTCTCGTTTCCTCTTGGTCAACTTGCGGTTCGCATACTTTGCGATATTGTGGTGGAATTTGGTGCATTCACATTTTTTAGCCCAAGGAACAAGTTTCAAATCGGACCACATTTTTGGCATCGGCCCAATATAGTCTTTTTGGTTGCCTCTCTTTATAAATTTATTAATAAATTTTTCTGTTTACTCTAACGGTGAAATGTTTGCCATCTGTGTGCCTACGGCTGTATATATGTATTATAAATTTATTCCCAAATTTTTATGGTATTTAGTCAATAATATCTCAAGTTTATCCAAATGGAAAAAAACCATATTTAAATTATTATAAAATCCTCACAATATGTTTACATATATCTTGACTTATGATTCCCGTTCATAAATGTATCTATCCATATACGTTTATTTTAATGTTTACATTGTTTGATGTTTTTCATATTTTGTTGTTTGCTTATTTGCTTCTTTCTTTACAGATAACAATAATCGAACGTCAAGTATTCGATTTTCTCGGATACATGTGGGCGCCTATATTTGTAAACTTCTTTCACATATTATTTATAATATTTGGATTTTATGGAGCATATCACTTTAGAATAAAATATATAATAACAGTAAGTATATCCTGCCATAGCAATGCAATCGATTTATTACGAATGAAAACAGTAACAATGATAAATAAATATATACACGTAAATAAATATATAAACAGAACAGAAAAAAATTATAATCGATGGAAAACGAATCTTTAAATCCCCCTCTCAAGGGCTGTGTTACGGATAGGCTGAGCTCTACTATAACATATTCAAAGTATAGCATGGACGCGCATATGTAAACAATGAAGAAGAAAAATTATATTTAAATAAGTATAGATGGATATATTGGCAAACTGATGGATGCAGAAATGGATGGGATGGGACCGGGTATTATAGACTAAAATATGAAACAATTACTGGTTATTTTCGAGAGCACTTCAGCTTCTCTATCCATTTCGGAGGTATGTGTCGGTAGATCACACCCATTTTCTGACCTTGTCTTCTTAATCAGTCGAGGAATGTTCATACAAGATTGCAGCTTCGCTCCTGCATTTCTGCGAATGAGATCAATACGGGCCACTTCGATAGAAAAATGTATGCATTGTAACACAAAGGTAGGTCTAGCGTTAAACGCGAAATGAAAAGCAAAACAATTCATTTGATCGTACAAACGTTGTATCTCGGATACAACAAAAATCTATTAGCCGTTAGTGGTGGTTGTTATAGCTTATCCCTCATTTTAGTCCTACAATTCATTTCTTTGGTCTAAATAAATCATAATACTATAGTGTGATAATACTATATCTCGTATATAATTTAGACCAGGGGTGGGCAAGTTTTTATCGTCAATCAGTACAATTTGATTAAAAATACTGCGTAGAGCCGATAGTGAATGCAGTTACAAATCGTATGCAACACTGCTATGCTGCGAACAAATTGGGTTATCTGAAATTTTAAAAGTAGGGCCGGCAGTCGCCCAATTCTGGTTTAATCCATGATTTTGCACAATTTGACAGCACTTAATGGTTGATTGTTCACTCTACTCTCCGACTTTCTCGTATCGAGCTCTTCTTCGCTGACACGACGTTTGGCGAGGCTGATAAGGAGAAAGAAATTTTGAAAGTTAAATTTCGCGTTCGTTCATACTTAACCGAATTGACCTAATAGTACATGTTCTTGGGCTGACAAGAGTGCACCTAAGAGTTGCATTCTAATGTCCATAAGGAAATTTTATTCGAATCACGAAGTATTTGTAAGCGATAAATCTCCAGAACCCTATAAGACGGGTAATTAGCTGAATCGTTTTTTCTGCCCGCTTTTTCCTTCCAAGTCCATGACTACAATCCTAACTGCTCGCTGCTTAGAGAACTCGAATTACTTTTCATTATCGTCGTGTTAGGGACAATAATGAACTAACGGGTGTTAGTTCATAATTCCACCAAATTCATCTGTGGATAAGTGAGGGCAGATAAGCATGGTTTCCAGTCTGTTTTGCCTCTGAAATGATAAACATAAGCGTACAATTATTCGACCTAAGCTGAATACATATTTTTCTTTCCTGTTTTTTAATTTCATTTCCATTTCTTTTACATATGGCTTAAGTATACACAAATGTTGATAAATTGGTTTGCGCTTATATTGTGCCAAGAAAAAGTTCGTGGCGTTTTTCAAAAAAAAAAAAAAAAAATAAATTACCGTAATATTTGACAGTAGAGAAATTAATCGTCTGGCTAGATGGGAGCATCTTATGACGCTTGATTTCCCTCTCTTCCCATTAAGCACAAAACATTATCTTATGTTTCCTTCATCCAGGTTTTGCAACCATTTGTGCAATTTCACCTATCGTTGAAATTGATCTTTCTGGCATATCAGTGTGGCATGCGACCGACTTTTCGTCACCCGTCATTAATGTCTTTAGCTTTGATCGGATATCGCATCGTTTTAACAGTGGTTTGCAGATTTTTTTCTTTTTAACATGAGCAATCACTTAGGGAATCTCCTCTATTCATGTAACACGGTAACGGTCGGAAAGAAGCAGACAAATAGAAAGAGACAGGGAGTTGGCTGCAGTCTAGCGGGTGTGTTCCCGAACCGGAAGCGAGGCTTCATGTTTGGATTTGGTTATCGTTGAAGTTGCCACGAATTTTTTCCTCGACCCATTGTTTGTGAACGTCTTGTTATCGGAGGGTATGAATGCTTTTTTGAAATATTGAAATCTAACAATATTTGTTTATTTTTGTTGTTTTCTTTTTTTTTTTTGCTTGGGATAATATAACTTTATATATAGAGTGTAATTTCATATATTTTATGAGATAGTGTGTGCGTATGGAACGCTCACTTTGTGTATAATAAATTCAAATAAAAGTCATTAAATCTTTCCCCTTTTCTATCGTAGAGATTGTAGCATATAATGAGAATATTATGCACAATTAAAGAGATTAACTAATAGCTCATCGTAATCGGCATAAAATTTTATCGTGGTTGCTTATCAAGCACGCAGTCAGTCACTCAGTCCTATAGCATTTTTATTCGACAAATTAACGAAAGGATGATGACAGAGCTTTGCAGCGATGAAAACGGATGCGCAAGTGTGTGCATGAATGTGTGCGCGTGCGTATGTGTGCGTGCGTTTGACAAGCGTAAATGATTGCTTTTCAATATCGATTTCACATCAACGAAGTGTCTAAATATTTAAACAATGATAATGGATTTCCTCCTTTTTATCTGCATTACTGTTCAAATGTGGAGAAGAACGACCGACGACGGGTTTACTTACTCATGTATGCACGCGTATGCGAATAAATAGATGGATGCATGTATTATTTGCGAGTAAAACACATTTGCATGACCTAAAAAAAAAAAAAAAAGTGTGCGTGTGTATGTATTATATAAAACTAAACTTAAAAATTCATTTAACTGTTTTTTTTATGCTCTGATGCACAGAATGCGCAGCAAAAACGGGAAGAAAAATAAAAATAAGCCAAAGAGACGACTGCTTTCAACTTTAACTTTGCTTTTATAACTGAAACTAATATGCAGTAAAAACATTTTATAACGCATGCAATCGTTAATAGCAGCAAACATGAAATCTTATACAATTTAAGAAAAAAAAAAAAAAAAAAGTTTCTCGGTATTTGTATGACAAAGAAAGCAGCAGCAGCAGCAGCAGCAGCGTATGAATCATGAACTTAAACGACGTATACTAAAGTTATTTTTCATCGTTTATAACAACTTGTTGACTTCTGCTTAACCAATCTGTCCACCCCCCCTTATGCAAAAATTCTTGGCTTTTGCATTAAAGCCAATCATTGATGAGTTAAGATAACTTTCAAAAAAATTAAATTTTTCATGTGATACATAAACGGAAAACTTTCCAGAGATCACGCTTAGAGATAGTAACTTGATGATGCAATTTGCGGGTGATTAACAAACATTCAATCTCAACGTTAGGAGACAGTCGTTCAATTACTTAAAGGTAAATAATAACGAAAACTGTTGTCGCCTTACTTAAGTGGTTGGCGTACCGCTTCAGTCGCATCCAGTCGATTCACTTTATGAAAAATAATATCGATACTATCGTTTTATGACTTGATGGTTTTCGCTTATTTTCGAATCGTAATAAGTTTTTTATTTGTTTGCATATTTAACAAATTATTTGTGACATCAACGATATACGAATAACAAGGCAAATGCAAATAAAGAAGAATAAGAAGAAGAAATAAAGTAAAATGTCAAGTAAATAAAAGGGAAAACCAAAGAAATTCTACATGACGGTCCGCATGAGTAGCCGAGTAGTTGAGAATCGCTTCTGCCAATTCGGTGTACGCTGCTTCAAATCTCCGTGCGGTAAAGTTTACTTTGGTTGTACCTGTAGCGGGTGCTCAGTCGGTAAGCCAAATCAGTCATCGATTGACCGCATATCCACTATGCTGTAACCACCACTTCCCTACTTCTTTACTTCTTTCTCTTTCTTTCTGACTGGCACAGCGATACGTGAATAGAGCATACCAAAAACAAAAAAAAAAAAAACATACACACACATTCTTTACTTTTAAACTCTTTAGATGACGAAACGGTTTTCATATCTACCACAGGGGACATATAGGTACATCTGCCCATCTGTCCGTTCCTTTGAAATTCCGACCTAGAACGTTGCTGGAGTGGCAAAGCAAGCGCCGTTTTATGGCTGTCGACGTCGAGTGCGCACTCGTATTAACCGTCTTTTTCGACAGTATAGTTTTGTGAGTTTATATAAACCGATTGCTATCGAGTCGAGTGAAATCCTTTTGCCCGGAATAGAAATGACGTTGTATTTACAATATCGCTGATGTATGAATGATAATAAGAAAGAGAAAAGGAGGAAGATAGTAAATAATTAAATGAACAAAGTGAATTAGTTTTAATTTATATTTTCCTTGAATTAAATTTTTCTAATTTTTCATTTGTTCCCTTAATATTTCCCGAACACATTTCCTTTTCTTATTATACATTTTAAGGCGGCAGAAGACGAAAGCATCGAAAATAGTTATTTGCTCTTCCCAACATTTTGAAAATTGCGCCATTAGCAGGATTCGAAATTTTATAATGATATTTTGCTTAATTTCCCCTTTAAATATGCTACTCGACACCAACTTTATCGTCGTATGGCTTTTCTTTGGATAACCGTCAACCCGACGGTGGATTCGACGTAGATATAAATCCAAATGCAAAAATTAGCTTCGAATCGACTGATCCCCAGCCTGAAACTTTTTGTTGTCGCCTTCATCAGGTTAAGCTGTACAAAATTTCAGAACTGATTACTTTACGATTTCACAACTTGTTGCTTTATTCCGATTTGTTAAAGTGTACATTAATATGCATATTGGAATAGATCCGAGGCTACGCCAAGTTTATGCGAATGACGGTTTGATATTTGTAAGGAATTTGAAATCAAACATCCACTCGAGATATATATATAATTTTTGAAATCGAAACCTTATACAAAAAATGCACGTTTAGTGTGAGAAGAAAAGAAGTAAAAGCTTGAAGAAGGTGATTCTGAATCGGCGTAATGAAAGTCGAGTCTATCACAAGTCTTTTTTCGTTTTCCATACATCCGCACAAACTTAATATGCGCTTAATTTCATATGCTCATCGCTGGTTACACATTTTTTCCACTTGTTTGACATTCTGCGGACGCGCCGCGAAACGAACTGGTGCTCTTCTCAAATAAGCCAATCATTGACTCGTTTTGGTACATTTTCGTAAGACGTGAAGCGCTGCTCAACGATACATGACCAATCGAAGCACACAAGCGATAATTGGACGGAGTTTAGCGCGGGCTACCATGTCTCAGGTGAATGCTTCCAACGTATGGCTAATCGGCTTTTCTATATGGACGAATGGGCGGATGTCATGCAGAAAAACACCTCTCTGGTTCCGCTAGACACAGAGCATAGTTCTCCCGCCAAATTAATTCAGTCCCGCAGTTGATATGGATGGTAAGCCCATGAAAGTTCGCGCTTGGGATTCTCAAAAAAATTCGCTTACGATGCAAAAAAGATCACTCGAGCAAAGAAAAGCTGCTGTCTACAGGTGCTCTTTGTTTAGCATGGAACTTGTCATTGTCGTTGCTAGAAGATAGGGCTTTTGCGTTGCCGCATTTGCTGGTATTACTAGTCCCTATTATTATTGTTAGATTCCTAAGCTACAACAAAAAACACACTAATTCCTGTTTCTTTATATATCAGACTTCTTTGAGTTAAAATCGGTAAATAGCTAACATGAATCGCCCACTGATCCACTCAAGAGAAATTCGGGAATTAAAATTTATTAATTTCTAATTGTTCACTTAAATCAAACCTTAGAATTTGGTCAGTTCGGCCAGGAAACGCTCTTTTTCTTAATCATATAAATAATCAAATAATCATTTCAACGATCCGTGGCATTAATCACTTCGAAAAGCGTTCAACGTTCGCGAACTCTTGCTTTTCTGTAAATATTTAAACAATAAAACTATCATCGCACACATAACATAGGTTATCTAAACAAAGGCTCAACCAAAATAAATGAACAAAATAAATAAATAAACAAATCAAACACGATTCAAACAATTTAACAAAGTACTTATTATCATGCAAATGAAGTGAAACTTTTACATTTCATGCGTCTCTCTCTCTCTCTCTCTCTTTCTCTCTTTATACAGTACTTAATATGGAGTTTTCTCTGGATAGGTTGGAATGCATTTTTAATATGTTTTTACTTAAATGTGGGTACATTGGACAAAGTAAGTCTTATTCAACTTCAAAAAAAAAAAACAAAAAAAGAAAGAATGGATTTTAATTGAATTATTTTCTTTGTTTTAATGAATTTTCCTTGGACAACAAACAGGATAGTGACTTACTGAATTTGGGCACCGGTAGCGTGTCATGGTTTGAGGTGAACGGTTACGGCTGTAAGCCCACATATCCCACAAATTTTACCTCAGAAGATCCTTACCGTCCCATACGCCCGGAACGTGTAGATGACTGCTTGCTAACGTACGATTTAATCGAAGTCATACATTCAGGTGTACAATGTGCTCTGGCGGTAAATAATCCGTTTATTACGTTTTTAAAAATAATTTCTAAAATTATGCAAACTTTTCTTATCCGCAGCTTCTTGGTATCCTGGGAGCTATATTAATCAGCTATATATTCCTCGATGAAGATGACAGATGTAAGTACAAAATCCTTTTTCTTTCTAATAGGATTTATCTTATCGGGAAGCAAACAAAAAAAAAATAAATAAATTCTTTGCAAAAATTAATCTTTCGAGTATGTGTCTGTGCTTAGACTAGATTCGACAATACGTCGTGTACGTGTACAAGTATATCTAGTAAAATGGTAATGCTTTGTTGTTTATAATCGCTTCGGCTATGTTGGGCAATGACTTTTCGACTTAAAAATCTTTCATTTTCCTTTCATTGTTTTTGCATAAAAATTTTGCAAATCATTTGTTTCCATTGAAAAGATGAAAAGCAATGAAATGAAAAGCTACCGTCAGCATGCTGTTCTTCCATCCTGCACAGAATCTATATAAGATTTGGTAAACGTTTGTTGAGCACTGAAATGTACATTTCAATTTTAGCTTATTGGTACTTATATTCTGGGTTAGAGTGAAAAGTACGTAAAGTATAGCTATGTCTATAAGTTTGACTGCCGTCTTATTAAAGCCATGCTATACTGCCCTGAAAGTGTTGACTGAAGGAATAAAATTGTTCACTAATTTTCTTGTTATACTTCAGGACCGGTTTTGCTCGAAAACCAACTAAATTGGTTTACAAACACGCCCACTATCAGAACTGCTACTTCAGGTCTCTCTAAGTTGTGGTTTTAAGTTTTTTTTACTCAAACTTCTTTGTAAAGCTCGCAAATCAAATGAATCGGACCAAAGATTCAGCCAAAAATCTATGCATATATAGACCATATATGTATATTTACAGAATTTGCGGCCCTTTTTGATTAATTATAATAATAGCTAAAGAAGATCATAAACCACTATTTAAAGACTTGAAAAAATAGTATAAAGCTACGACTTAAAATAGTGTGCCTAGGAAACGTGGCGTTCCTTTCATATAATTTTGGCACCACTTCATAGATAATTGCTCAAAGTAAGTAAGAAAAATTTTAAATCACAATTTATAAAGCAATTCTTGTGAAGTCCAGGGTTTGAAAAATTGTGTCCAGGAAAAATTTCGTGGCGTTTCTTCCAAGAGATAATTTTGATAAAGCTAACCATACGCGCTTGGAAAATGGCAGTCAATAGACAGTTTAAAAAAAACCTTGTGAGATTTTTTAACTATTAAGTCGAAAGTGTTTGAAAATTAGACAGAACACCAAAAAATTTGATGACGCTTCTGATGAAGGGCTTATGAAGAAACTCGTGGTGTTTATGAAGAGGATGCTTTATTAAGACATAGGTAGCACGCAAACGGTTTGTTCGTTTCTGCGATCTGGAAATTTCGGCACTAAAAACGCTTTCTTTGAAGAATTGAGGAAGGCCGGCGCACTTCATCTTGCTGCTGCAATTAAACACCGAACAAAAACACTCTTAGATCATTTTCGGAAGTGTCTTAATGCTTTAATATCACTTTAAAGAAAAAGCCTATGAAACCCTCTACACGATTCACCTTTTCCATTCTATAGTGATGGCTTAATAGTTTTATCGGAAAAAATGAGGAAAAGTTATCTATCAAAATGATACATGAATGGCTCAAAAAAAATTTCATTTTAAAATGTAGGAAAAATGTGTTTGAATTTCGATGAAGAGGATCCACACATTCGGTGCAAAATGGTTCCACGCAGTTATTTGACTGATTTTCTTGAAATTAGTGAAAAGCATTGTGACGTTTTACTCGATTGTCTCAAGGAAACCATACTTTTGTTGCTTATTTCAAGCATTCAAGCTTCATCTTACGCTGGAGGTTTTAAAATTTTTTTTTTTAACGTTTTTAAGGCTTCTCTCTCATCACTTGACCATAGAGAGTAACGTAAATGTTTTCGATTTTTCAAAACTGGACGATATGATATAGATAGCATAGCTGTTCACTGTCATTTGGAACCATATACTCGATTAGTAAGTGATAGGTAATAAAAGATTCGGCCAAAATCGAATGGAGCTTTTTATTTTTGCTGTTTTTTTTCTTCTTTCTATTTGCACTTTTGTTTACAAGCCTCAAAGCCTGTAGACAAATGAACGGAAGTTGAATTTCAATTTCCGTTGACAAGATAAAGATTACCTTGACATAAATAAGCTTACGGTTGCTTATGGTAGCGTGGATGACGACTAGCACAGGCACACATTCTCAATGCGATTACTATCTTTGCAAAAGTTTGAAATGAAATTTTAATACTTTTCCCTTTTTTTTTTTCAATACCATTGCGAAGCAATATATATATATATATTTTTGTTTATTCATATACGATTCATTGAATATATTTCATTTGAACTTAGAATTTATTAAATATTTTGTGGTTACAGTACATTACAGTAAATATAAATATAAATATAAATATAAATATATATATATATATATATATTTGTAGATATATATATGTATGTATACGTGTATGTAGTTATGATATCGAAATTTATTTCATATAAATGCTATGGCTTATCCTCCTTGTAACCGTACATTGCATTTTGCTTTTACAAGCATTCAAGTTTATAGTTATATGTGATTATCATTTCATTGAGCGTAAGCTTCGAGTAAAGGGACATAATTGCAGCATGCACTCACTCATCTAATTAAGAAGCAAAGGAAAGCATGATGATTTTGGCAATGAATGTGTAATGAATAACGATTATGATTGGTTTACGGTTTTGTAACGGTTGTGTTGTAATTTGTATTTTCTAGGCGCATGGGTTGATCTCAGTTTCAATTCTTTGTTTGTTTATGTGTGTTGTTCGTTCTTTTGATTGTAAATAATTTAATCCATTATTTATGCTTTATACACATATATATGGCATGCATTGGTTGGTTAGTTGTTATTATGTACCATATAAGAGTTAATATAATTTTCTAAAAAGTTCCTAATAATCATATAATTGAATAAAGAAAAACATAAATGTTTTTATTTACTAATTATATACAATGATTATAAAAACAAAAACACTACAAAAAAAAAACATTATAAAATTTTAAATGCATTTGTTTGTTGCTCTTAATTGAAACTTTTTAAATATTCATTTAATATTTAACTAATTGTTTCTCTATTCAAAGTTATATATATGTTTTAGTTAGTTTTAAATTTATATATATGAAAAACATATTTATTATACTATTTTGTGTGTTAATTTTAGTTTTGTGTGTTCATTACAATTGTAAATACATATGCATATACATAGATATATTTTATAAACAAGGGGTGTTCGCAATATATGTTATGTTATCTCTAATAGATCGTCGCGTTCGTGTCGGTCATCTCAAGATTGCACTCAGCCAATAGTAAACAAAAATTTGCAAGAAACTGTGAGAGTCACGCATACGCGTAGACAAACGATTTCATTTAGCGCAGCATATTGGCCCATCCGAGCAATTCTCTTATATGTCGTCTATAACTAATATATAGGTTGTACGCGTGGTTAAGAGGTTTCCAACTGTTAATTTGTAGACATGATACGATTGTCGTTAGATGTGGTATATATACATATATATATATATATATATATATTAAGGATATCTCTCCGATCTCCAAAAAAGGTTACATATATTTGCGTGACCACAATCGTGGGAAATTTAACAAAGATGTGTGTCCCAAACAATTTAACAAAAAAAGAATGTTCATCTTGAATATTGGCTTTACTTTTTGATCAAAGTAAAAAATTCAACTTCCAGATTGAACAATTATAAATGCTGCGAGATCGCGTAAAATTATGAACTGAATTATGTACGATGTCCACGATGTGATGCACGTATGAATATATCTTCCTTTTAATTTGCAAGCAAACGTAATTCTTAGGTAGAGGAGCTCCTCTCTCCTCCTCTCCCTGATTTTTAAAGCGCCTTTACACTTTACAAGACAACAGGCGATATCTTAATACGCATGCGCTGAAAGATATGTGAATTCAAAATCTCTTGATTTTGCGAACAAATCAAAAGCACGATGTTGTTTACAATATCGAGATGGAGCAGCAGAAATAATAATCCGACACAGTATTCGAAAATTGGTTTAATGTAATGCAAAGCCTTAACGTTTATGAAGGTGTATTTAATTGCGAAATGAAAGCACTATACCGTAATTGAAGTCATATTTTTTATAAGCAATTGTTCTAATTAAAAGTCATCCCCACATAGTTGGTCTTTATGTGCGTATGGACGGATGCTCTGAATGCGAGTACCGTCGTGACGATTGTTCTTTGACAAAATTGGTTACGGTCGTAATTGCCAATCGCTATGTTGTTTGCCATAGGTTTAGCAATCTGTAATCTGGGAGATTTTGTTCCTATGTTTATAATAAATAATAAAGTGTTTGCTGAGAAGTTTAAAGAAAGTCATATTGTCGAAATGAAGTAATCACGACATTTCGCATAAATAAAGCCTAGTTTTCGCGCTGATATATAGTCGTTGGTGAAGTCGGTTAAGTCGACCATATCGCGCATAAGACGTTGGAACGGCTGAACGAATAAAATGAAAAACGAAAATTAATTTTAAGGAAGGCGAATGATCAGCGGCGAGAATTATGCAAATTCATTGCGACCTTCAAGTGTTGAAATAATGAAAACAAAGGCGCATTTGCCGACAAGGAAAGCATTGCTTTATCAAGACGATGCACTATTTCACATATTCGTTCTTGCGATAGCTAAAATCAAAAAATCGAAGCTCGAAATGTATTTTCATGTATTTTATTCATTGGACTTAACGCTTTCTAAATATGAACATATTACTTAGTGGTAAAAGGGTTTTCAACTATAATGAAGTGGAGTTTATGACCAACGGCAGTTTGGAGGAGCACTCGCGCTGCCTGGGGGCGCCTGGTATGAAATATTAGACCAAGCAGCATATCAGAAGTCGAACGACGCTCGTATACCACAAGGCGAATGCGCATTGGGATTAGTTTTATATTATTACTCCATAACTACTCCCCTCTTCTTCTACATGTCAATGAACAAGAGGAAAAACGAAGTTATAGAATATCTGTTAAGAAATAAAAAGACATCTTGTTTTGCAAGTTTTTGGAACTTCAAACGACTTGGAGGTAGACTGTTGGCGTTAAGTCCTGCTGTAAATAAGGCTATCTTCGTGTCTTCGTAGTGTTTCTGAATGAGCTCACGAATTGCTTCCATGAAATGCGATGAATAAATTTAGCTACAACCGGGATTGTAAAGCAGCTTAAATGTGAACTATTGGACAAGAGGACGGAATCGAATTTCTTAATGCATTTTCTATGAGAACATCTGCAACTATCTCTACCACTATCACTTTAAATCTTATTTCTGTTTAGAAAATATGTTTTATTTTTATGGGACTTTCTAGAAATCCATTGAGAGATGCAAAACCTTTGTAGGTATAAGTAGAGTAGCGACGGATGCTAACAAAAGACGCAGACGTCAGTATGACTTGAAAGGCTCATAAGGCTGCGTGTGTGTGCTTTGAGCTTAAACTCATTCACACTATGTCAGCTAAGTAGATACAAACTAAAGTCTTGAAAATGTCAAAGTTGTAGGGTAGATGGAAGTATTAATAGGTGTTGAAAAAATCCCTCTACAGAATCGCTATCAAGTAATTGTTTGTTGTTTGTATGAATCTAAGAACCCGTGGTCTTAATACCATATTTTGTGAATGCACCCTTAGAAAGTATTTTAGGAAATTTTCTAAAATTCAAAATTAAAAGATTTGAAATTAATTTTTTCAACGGAACCATTTTTCGCACTGATATCCGTATTCCTGGCAAGGCAGCAGGATATATTGGAAAAATCGAAATGTAAAATTGTAATCAAATATTAATTATTAATTCATAAATGTGTTGCTTGTGATGATTGCTTTAATGTCTTTTTTGTTTTTTATTTTTTATTTTTTTTTTTAATATCAAATCATAACTAAATACTCGTATAATATATTTGTGCGTTTGTATGTACTTGTTGTTCTATATATAATGTGTTGATGATAAAAGATTTGAAAATGTTTAATTGTAAAAAAGGAATTTATTGTTTCTGCTATCATCTTTTGTTACGTTTCATTCGAAAGCTTGGCCTTGAAAAACCTTCAAAGTTTTATTTTTTTGATTTATTTTCCTTTTTTTTTTCTTTTTTTTGAAAATATCACAAATGTATCGTTTGCAGTACAAGCTTGTTCGTTCGTCGTTTTTCAGTGTTATTGTCAAATTATTTATACACACAAACATACAGACACACTCATCATATTTATATATATATATATATATATACACATACAAATGAATTTTTGTTTCTTTGTTGTTGTTTAAATAAAACGAAACCTAAACTTTTTGGTTTACAGTCGATTTCATGAATGGTGATGCGAAGAGTCCCCAGCACACCGTGGTTCATCCAATGTACGTGAGCTATACAAGTATACCGACTTCGGCAAGTGCTACCATGCTATCAACCAGCAATAATAAGCATATTAATCATCATCATCTAAATAACAGTAACAGTAACAGTAACAGTTATCATCTCAGTACTCATCATGGCGTTATGCAAGAGCAAGCAAATTACTCACCCCAACAGCAACAGCATAAACTTCACCATAAGCTCCATCAATACGATCAACAACAGCAAAATTTTAGTAATAGTACGACAACAACAACTAACAGTAACAATAAAGCCATAAATAATGGCAACACATTTTTGATACACCATCACCATAATAATCATCGTGCTACTCCCAATAAGGGCACTAGTAGTCTAAATAGTGGTGGCCGCACCTATTTAAGCGGTGGTAGTTTGAATAGTCAGTTCAACGCGAACAACGGTAGTTATAGTAATAGAAAGCAACAAAAGTGCAATTACAGCAGCCGTAGCAATACACCTAACGCTAGCAAGACTAGCACATTAACTCATATGCTCTATAGTCCGAAACAAATGCGTAAAATAGGTTCGACAACGACAAGTATTTTTCCAGCCCCTACAACCACGGCCGTTGATTTAGCATACAAGCAATCATTCTACGATGACAGCACGGCTAAGGCCGATCATCAACTGTATTCAAATAATTCTCGTCATCATTTTTCGCCACACACACACACACCTACGCAGGATACGACTCCGTCTCTGTCTTATGCCTCTTTACAGAATTCGAATCAAAATTTGGTATCTAGCTTAAGTGGTTGCGGTGTTGCGGGAGGAAGTAGAGGTGGTAGTGCATGCGGTGGTGGCGTTAGTTCAGGCACTGGTACAGGTATGGCTAGTCCCTTAAGTAATAGTAACTATAGTTTAACAAATAGTTTGAATAACAATGTTACGGTGGGCACTAGCAACAGCGGCGGACATTTCGCCCGCATACACGGTAAACCTAAGCCACCCAAATCCTCTAGTTATAGTAGCTTCCTACAAGGTGGCAGCGGTTACAATAGCATCACCACAACTAGCTCCGGTAATCATGTACAACGACCTGATATCAAATACACGCAAATATCTAACAATGAACAACGTTTATCTAACAATATCGACGAGGCATACGAAGAAGATAATTTTTCATTGCAGAATTTCAAAACTGATGAAGGCATAACGTACGTACCTTTCACTAAGCCCACACCTACTCCTTTAACGACTAATAGTAATTATTTTATACAGAAGATCGAAGGTGATAATAAAAATCCTTCTTATGCTTCTATTGTTTCACTCAGCAATGAACAAAATTCTCTGAATAATAATAGCAATGATAATAATAATAAAAACAACAATAGCAGTAGTGGTAGTAGAAAGATTTTAAGTCCAAACAATAATAGTAATAATAATAATAATAATAATAGTCTTCCCTTTGCAAATGATAATGCAGGTATTTTACTAGAAAGGGGAGCAATTTTGCAACCAGCTTCTTTACAAAATCCGGCCATGCAAGTGAACATTTTGAATCCGGCCCAAAGAATACTATATCAACAGAATGGTTTACCATTTCATCCGGCTTACTCTCCGATGACATATCGAGCTAGTAATATACCGCGTCCCACAAATATACCATTGCCGACTATACCGGCTCAAGTGGAGGGAAATGAATTAATTTCACCCTCAGATTTTACACCACCACCACCGCCGCACAATCCGAAACCACATATTTTTCAACCGCGTTCGGGGCAAGCCCCATATCCTGACTTATCGCCCGAGGTGGCAGAACGATATGCTATGCCCACGCAATACGTGCCGCGTTCGCCAGTGGCTTCACGCATTATTCGACGTCAGCGCCAACAAGCCCAGGCTACTCAAGACAAACCTTTTGCGGTAAATTTTTGCGATCAGATACGTGATACACCGCCCGGTTATACAGACAATGGTTATAAAATTGCTCGTGCCAAAAGTCACGATCGTTTAAATAACTCACAGCCGGTTGTTCTAAGAGACAAAGAGAAGAGCACGTCACGTCCTGGAGAATCTACGCCGAATGGTTTGCAACAAATTAAAGATCTGGCACCGCATGTGAATCGTCGTAGCGGACGACGGGACGGAAACAAAGTAAGACCACGATCTTACTGCAATTCTATGACGGGGGGAGAGGGTGTTATACGTGTCAATATAGCTACGGATCGCGAGAATAGTATGAGAAATGAAGCTTTGAGTTATGCAGCCTAGACGAAAAAAAAAATAAAGTCTCTTTGCTTACATTTATTGTAAATAACTTTGAACTTTTCATATTGATCCTATCTCACAAGAGCACTTTTCACTTTTCATACTCTCTCTTTCTCTCTCGCTCGCTCGCTCGCTCTCTCTATGTTTTAAGCACCTACTCTTTTTGAGATTATAAATATTTAAATAAAAGAAAAATCACAAAAAATTCTCAATTATTCTAGACTTATAGACTGTGACTGCTGAACATTTCTGGTTACTGGTAACTTTACTCAAGAGAACTGTGTGTGGTTTCTACATAGTCCGCAAGTCGCATTGAGTTCTTCTTTCTCTAGTTCTTTATTCCTCTCTCTCTCTCTCTCTCTCTCTCTCACTCTCTCTGTATATTTTCATAAGCAATGCTGCCAAGTTTCAAGTTGCATAGTTCCTTTGCTGTGCGAAAAAGTAGGTAAACGTTTTTAAGTAAATTTTATAAACCTTCTTTTGTGTCTATAAATACCTACCTATATATATATGCGTGAGTAACTGCTGTGTACTAAAAATGTGTTGATTTGTTGAATTTTTAACTTTCTTCTTTTACATGTATATGTTTTCCTATTCAATTTTTTTATTTTTTTTATTGTTGAAATATTCATATTTTAGCACTCGTTTCTCTGCAAGAGAAATATGAAAACGTATTTCAAAATATGAAATTTTCAAGCAAAAAAAAAAAAAAAAACATAATTGAGAATTATTTTTAACGAAAAAAACAAATGCCTTGATAATAAAATATATATATTTAATGTTTCACATTATGTATTATATATTTATATATGTATTTGAATGGAATAAAAAATTATATTTACAATAAAAATATTAACACACACACACACACAAAAACATACTGGAGGGTAGAAAGTTAGCTAATCGCATTGATAGTGCTGAAATCTTATATTTAGAGTGGCCATGAAGAAGATAAAGACATAAAGTATAGATTAAGCTCAATCATTAGTAAGTGTTGCCTTTTAGTCGCTTAGTTAAAAAAAAAAAGAGAAAAAATTCGAGATAATATTCGGCTTGAGTCGAATTTTTCAATACCCACTACTGGTTTTTCTTGAAACTGCAAAACTCCTTAATAAATTGTCATGTCCTCCTTTAAGTATTTATCGACATACAGATATAGGATACTATGTTTTTAGAGAATTTTCCACGCAGTACGAGTGTAAGAAAAAAACTATATTTCCCTAAGAATGAATCAATTTGTCAATTTAATCGGAGATGAAATGCATTTGATACAAGTTTATTGTCGTTGACTTGCAAGGTTGATAGCGTTTATCAGATAAGCAGAAATTTATGTACAGAGCTTGTGGTCAGGATTGACAAGGATCACGTTGAGATCAACGCATGTACTATATAATATAATTCCTGTTGAGATGTTCTTCTCGGTCGCGATTACCATTTCAACAGAGATGAAATCCATTTGGCATAAATTTATGCTTACCGACTTACAAATTGATGATGTATATCAAGCTTGTGATAGGCATTGAGGGAATTATGTTAAAATCTAGGCGAATGCATATAACCTGATTCATTTGTCATTTGGACGGGGGTGAGGTCAACTCGAAAAAATTTTATTCTTACTGACTTGCAAGTCGAGGCCAGCATTCATTAGATAAGTAGGAAACCTGGTGGTAAGCATTGATGGGATTATGTTGAGATTTATGCGAATGCAATGCAATCAGATTGACAGACATATAATATATATAATCCTGTTGTGGGTAGAAAAAGTAAAAAATAATTCAATTTAGAAGCAGGAAAGCGTTTCTTTTATATTTTTAACTGTGATATTGTAAAGAAAAAAACAGAAATCGTAATATTGACAAAATGAAAGAAAAGAAAAAATATTTATAGTGATTGCAAACAAGAATTCTGTAAGGAATTGAAATTTGTGCTAATTTGTTGAATTGTTTGTTGTGAGATTAAGCGAAGTGTAACAAAAATGACATAAATAAGTAATATAAATAAAAGAAAAAAAAAAAAACAAATGCCTTGGTAGTTGAGACAACATTATAAATGCGTTAATATCTAAAACACAACTAAAAAACGAAAATTATTTACAAAACAAAAACGAAAAGAAAGAAAAACTAATAATTTTTAATGTTATATTAATAATACAAATTATTGTTATATGATCTTTGAAGAAGAATACAAATACACATACATTAAATAATCATTATTTTTTATTATTAAGAAAACTTGAAGAAGAAAACTGCAAACTATATTATAATTACATTACCATACAATTACAATACATTACAATAACAATGCAATAATAATAATAAAGCTTTCTTTAAAACTTAGGGGTAATTAATTAATGCATAAAAAAAGAGAGAAAATACACTTTGAATTAATTATAAACAAAACACACAAACAACTCGTTACAAATTGTAAAAAACACAAGTAAGAAAAAACACAACAGAAAAAAAAACTATAAAAATTAATATTTGTAGTAATTAAGGGAAAATAAATGAACGCGTCTAACAAATGCATATGCAATCAATAGTCTTTTTTTCCTTTCTTTTTCTTTCCTAAAACCTAATTGTTTTAATTAGATGCGATATTTCAAAGGCAAGGTATATGGATATTATTTGATTTTTAGCGAATTTCTCACATTTAGTATTTTAATTATTATTATTATTATTATTATTTTTCTTTTTACATGATTTGGTTTGACTTTGTGTATGTATTGTTTTTCCTCTGTTGCTCTTTGTTTTTACTTTTATTTTCATTTTCATAAGTTTTTTTTTTTTTTTTTGGATTTTTAAGTTTGTTTCTTTTTTTCGTAACTAATTTATTTGTTTTCGATGTAGCTTAACCTAACGAAAAGGTAATTTTGCTAATAAAGTCTTTTTAAGTGTTTTTTTTTTTTTTTTCGTTTATGTCTCACTTTTGTTTTTAACTTTTTTAGTAACTTTTAACTAGAAAAATGTTGTTACAGTCTTATTACATATATATATATATATATGTATCTACTCACTTTGTATGTTTGCCTCTTTTTCGCAGTGAAACATGCTAGTAAGAAGTCCAAACATCGCCAGTCTTTATATTCGATTGAATTTGGACCCAGTCTGGATACCATCCGCAGTCGGGCTGATACCATTTTAGACTACGGCGATGATCACTTACATGAACGTTGTATTGGTGGTGTTGGTCTTGGGGTTAGTGGTGGAGGTTGTGGCGAAGCAGACGGCAGTGAATTGAGTCCTAAACCGATGACACCACGCCGAGTGAAAAGGCGTTCGGTTATGGCTCGTGGCTCGAATAGTCGTCAATCTACCTCCAGCAGACGCAGTCATATCAGTGGGAGTGCTAGTGGTGGAACAAGTAGTAAAAGCTCCAACTCTGTTCACACGGGTACTCATGCACGGAGCAGTACTCGCAATTCTAGACGGAAATATCAGCAAAATCCGGTAACCAAATTATTAGATCAACAACAAATACAATTGCAACAACAACAACAACAGCAACAGCAGCAGCAGCAACAACAGCAACAACAATATCATTTACATTATCATCATCCGCATCATCATCATCATCATCATAGTCATGACCGTCCTGCTAAACAACAACACTTGGGTTCTTTTCATCATCAGAAAGATAACTCTTCTCTTACAATAGCCAATTTGGATACACTGCACCATGAAGCTCACAATAATATAAATGCAGTACCTTCGTCATTGGGTTCTGGCGGTATTGGTAGTCTTAGCAAAACGAATAACAATCATTATCAAAGTTTCCGTAAAAATATCCCACCTGATCCCATCTATTACAATACAAATGCGCAGACTGGTCTTTTCGAGCAGGCATGGCAAACCGCAGCATCGCAATCTCCACCTGCTGCTACATTAGTTGACGAACCGCAATCTCCTACTCTTCCTTTAGCGCCCTCTCTGGGTGGCGGCCATTATAATCCCACCTATCAACACTCAACTACGAATCTGAATGATGGCGAACAAGCAGATGAATTGTACAATAATCGTCCACCATCTGTGCGGTCTAGTTACTCTAATTTCCATGGAACTCGTCCAATAACATCGTATACGAATAGCACTGGTGCAACTGAAAACGTTTTTGCCGGTTTAATGGGTGCTAATGCTGCTAATACTACCACAGCAGCAACAACAACAACAATGACAGCAACAGAAACGCAACAGTTTTGCTTTCAGCAAACCACTGAACATGTGCCTCCATCGACACCACCGCTATATCAACAGCATCCTTTGCATAATCATTCGATAAGTGAGCAAAATTTACCGCCGCCTCCTCCTTTGCCAGCTGAGCCGCAATACGTTAGTTCGCCACCTCAGCCTATACCTTTTGCAAAACGTACTGCCTCACGGGAAAGTATTCGTTCGATGGCCTTCTTAAGCAGTGGGCCGCCTGCCTATAATCTCAACTACCACACGCCACCAGATTCGGAAACCACTATGTGATTTTATCAATCAATTGCACTCGAAGTGTTTAAATGCTGCTGGCCTTCCCTTTTTAGGAGAATGGGAATTAATTTCCGATTAGCCGTCCAAACTACAACTGAGAGAGTCCAGTAAATACTTAAGAAGTTTTAAATTATAGATAAATTCTTTTGTTTTCTTGCAGAATTTTAAAATTAAAAGCTAAGTAAACAATTTAGAAAACAATGCAATGCGTAGGGGCCTTAAACACTTTAAGTTCAATAAATGTAAACTAAAGTAAAAATAATTTTTTAGCCATATTACGTTCGGCATTTTATACTTTGCCATTACATCATGGATTAAGTCAATCTATAATCCGTCTTCCTATCTGTCTTCTGGCTTTAGTATCAAAAATATCCTTTTAAATGTTTTAGAAATCTTTAAACATCACTCGTCTAAAAGAAGTAAAAATGAACGTATTCTCTAATTGAGAAAAGAGATAAACGTTTGTAAAAATTTACGATTTCGGTGTAAGTCATTAAATATTTTGAGTCATCTCGGCATGATTACGTTGAGTGCCATCTGATACAACTCGCGCGAACAGCACTGAAGTGGAATGTGCTATCTTTTCCAGTATATTTGTTCCCGTTACTTTTTCTTGCATCGATCACGTGAACCTATTGCTTACCGTACCCAAATATCGGTCCTAACGTTGACAGTTCCAAAAGATTTGTTGTCCTTCCGGGGTAAAATTCAAGTTCTGCCATTCACATTCCATCAGATCGAAGCCAAAACTGTGCGATTAGCTGTATGGATAAAATACTTTGAACAAGATATCTATTACTATTTTCTTGAAGTAAATTCTCTCTTCCGAAGAGAAGAAACACGAGATTTCATACATAACCTGAATTACATTTTAAGCTTTCAGTGATGCAATCAAATGCTAAACTTTATTTGGAGAGAATCCATTTTATTGCCGCTCTTTAGAGAACTTGAAATTAATTCACGCCATTACTTGCGGAAAGAATTTTCTATAAAAATGTGATTAAACTTTACGCGCTGCGTTAAACAGCTCCATAGGGCACATGTCAAATTTAATTTGGAGCTGAATCTGTTTTTGTTTTTATTTTTGGTGTAACGTTTTTCTTAAGTTTATCTTTTTTATCTTTTATCTTTTCCCTTTTAGATATTAAATTAATGTTCGTAGTTATTTTCTTGACATATCCGAAACTACATAGACTCAGATGTATAAAGAAGTAAGCCCACCTTAAAGAAAAAGACAACTAAATTTTGTTTAGATGTCAAGAACTTATGCTTATATTTACTTAAAAAATTTTACGAAATTTTTAAATATATAAGTGCTAATATAATATAAATAATAATAGTAATATTTTGTCAAAAAAATTTATTTTTTTAAAATTTATAAACCCGTATTGAAATTCCTTATCCAATCATTAATTAAAATATTTCTAAAATTCTTACTTAAGACTGCAAGCTTAAGTAACATTTTTTTTATAGATAAATACATTTTGAGACTCTCTCTCTGAAAAATTATAACAAAAAAAAGTTAAAAAAGTCTCTTAAGCAGTTTGATAGAGAGTAATTATTATTGTGCCTTGCACCATTTGCGATACAAGTGTACGTTAAGTTTGCGCGGAGCTATGTAACATGCAAAAGAACTTGAGATAGGCCCATCCGATCACTGTCTGAACCGATTTAAGCTTATCTGTCCGTCTGTCCGTCTTATTTTCTTGTGTTCAACCTACAGATTTTGATTTTTGATGCGTGGACAAATTTTGGCCCAAGGACGAGCGCTATGGAAAATAATTCTAATCGAGTCACCTTTTCGATCACTTCTCGTGTAAAACCTTATTTTGAGAAGTCTTGTGAGCAACCGTATTAAACGATGTGGCGTAGCCTATTTAACCGAATGCCGTGTCCAACTGCAACGTTTTCACATGCTTTTAAAAAAAACAATTTTTTTGTTATAAATTTTGTATTAAAAATAATTAAACCTTTTTCTCTAAGAAATCCTTAGAAAACTCCTGAATTTATACATATACATTTTTAAAAATTTTCTTTTAATTTGGAACAAAAAATATATGTTTTTTGAAGGCTTAAGATTTAAAAAAGTAAAAATTTTTTTTTCATTAATTACCAGATTTTATGTCAAAAGTGTTCTTTTAACTTTAAAAGAAAAACTTTTATAAAATATATAATCAAAAATATATTTATTTCATAGATTAATATTATATTTAAGAAAATTATATTCAAAGTTTACTAATTCTAAAGCATTTTTTTAGAACGTTTGCTTAAAATGTTTGATTAAAAATTGAAATGTTCCAAGAGAGCCTTTTCTAATATTTTTGTGAACAACTGTCAAAGAGTTTTAGTTTCAGAAATGTCTCTCAATAATTTTAGGTCATTTTTGGCCTAAATGTATTTATAAAATTAATTATGAATAATGATAATTATAAATTCATTAATAGTTTTATAAAAGATCACTGCTAGTTTTAGCTCGAATTTGAACGACCTTAGACTTGTTTCCTTTTTCCAAACATAATTTTTATATACATATAAAAAAACTACCAAAGTATTTTTTGTAAATATGAATTATATTTTATGGAAATAATAAAAATTAAGAATTAAAACTTTGGATAGTATTTCATTGAATTTTTTTTCATTTCTCTCTGAAGCTCTTGCCTCATTCACTCTCTCTCTCTCTCTCTCTCTCGCTCTGCGGTTTGTGCAGGTCAAGCAAATTTTATAAATCATGTATGACAGAAGACGGACGATTCATTTAATTGTTACCACATTCTGTTGGAAAACGAATATTACATTTTTTTAATTAGATTCTTCTTATTTTAAGGTAATATTGACAATACCTATATCATCATCCCAACCGGTTTGTATATCTAAACGTTTATTCTCCTCTTTTAGCCATATAAACAAAGGTCCGAAGTATTCCATTAAGCCTTTAGCGCTTAGTTTACGTTCACTGGTAGCTATTTCCATTACGTCACGCCAATGTTTTGCGGCACCCAGTTGCATCATTTTTCTAAAGGAAATTTCAAATCATAATGAAGAAAGCATAATTTTCATAAAGCATCGATGTAAGCTCACTTAATCATATTTCCAGCGCTTTTACTCCCATAAAAGTCACAATTCGATAAAGGAAAGTCCGGATTTCCTGGCTTATATTCACCACTTGCTAAGCAGAAGGCGCGATAAAATTCAAAGCCCAATACTTCCGATATAAATTTACTGCAAATTAAAAGAAGAATTAACTTATTTTTCATTACGTATCGCTAAACTAATTTTGTAGCATGATAGAACGGATATTCGGTTTTTTATATCATATTGCGCGTGCCATATATCCTATTCAATTGAATTCGATTCAATACAATTGTATTTCTTCAATATTCGGCTACAATCTAAGTATCAACAGCTTATAAACACTTGGGTATAAACTATAATATCCGCTATTAATTACTATTATTTGTTAACACAACATCTTATACAATGTTACACCACAAGTAGTACGACACATAAGTTGATAAAGTCGACTTAATCAATGGCAAAGAAAGTAAAGAAGGCATGATATGGGTAATTAAACACTAAGGTTACGAAGCTTGAAATAATGTGCAGAAATTTATTAAATAAAAAGTATTAACAGGGTTAACCCTTGACGAAAATACCAAATATATATATATATTGTATGGAGTATGATTCAGTCTGCATATATAGATGTTAGCAAAGACTATGCAATACAGACGGGATTATAACCAATCAATCAGACTAAGTGATATCTATGGGGCGAGAAACGTTCGCACTAATATCATTCAAAAGTGCTGGCGAATCACTTTCGCCGTGTGGTAACGTAATCGAAAAGGCTGGGCTAAGATGCCTCCCATTGGATTAGGCATATCGACGAGCAATAGTTCGTGCTCATGGTGGCCAATTTCGACACGGGTCACACCTTAGAGCCTGCACGGCAAACAGCCAGAGGTATTTTTGGGCGGATCCCATAGAGTCAATATAACACTGGTCTGAAAAGACTAATGAATGTTGCCTTGGTAATGTATATATTCAAAAACATATTATACGCCCTTACCCCGCTTTATCTACGTGCGTTTCTCTCTCGAAGATTCGAAAGATTTTTCAACCCGATGCGACGAGCAAGATGAAACGAAAGCCTGAACTCAAAATTGTTTCTTTAGTCAATATCTTGAAAAATTCGCCATGGGTGTAAAATGTAAGGAAAGTGATTAAAGGTGTTTCAATATTCAGTTCGATCAAGTATAACCGTACTTTGTAGAGGATCTGTACAGTGTTTATGAAAGCCTTAAAAAAGTTTTTAAATCTGATGTACCCCATGTTGCAGGTACAAAAAAATTATTTAAACTTGACAGCGATATTTGAAAATTTTCAAGATGTTATGCACATTCTCTGGAAATGAAAACCGACTGATTGTGTATATTCCTATAATGAATCTTGAGTTCGCTATTCATGCTGCTTTCATAGATATGAAACGTTATGGAGCTTCTGACGCGCATCTCAATGCTTTAGACACATTTTGGTAGGGTTTGTCTATCCCTAACTAGGCTACTCTAGATTAAAGTTTAATTTAGGAAACGAGGACATTTTCTATTTTTTTTTTTTTTTTGCTACTGTTTATTCTATTTATCTACTTACGCTGTATTGGATTTTTCTGGATTGAGGCCGCGATAAAATTTAAAGTCAGGATCGAAATTTTTCTCATTGCGTCTCATTGGAGGTACAACTCCAGCATACTTGGATTGTAAGCGCCAGTAACCGCAATTAAACTCATGCGAACCAATACGTCCGTCCATAACATCAACCAGGAATTTGTCGTTAATGAAATATTGTGGAACTGCCAGCAGGGTATGCACAGCCTGCGAAATGTAACGTTTACTTTTAATGAAAGGAGAAATAAATAAGTAAAAATACTACAGTGGGATACGGTCTAGCATTGAATACCCTACGCCCCTTCGCTTAATATTTTCTGTTCATATATCTGCCTATCAAAAAAAGGTGTCATATGGGAAGTGGTTGAAAAGGTGGTCCGATCTCAACCATTTTCTATAGCGTTCGTCTTTGGTCCAAAGCCGGCCTCCAAGTTGACTACAAGAACAAAAGGCGGACATACAAGCTTAGATTAACGCATAGGTAAACGCCTATGGGTTTATAGTTTTCTCATAAAAGAATAAATGAAACGACGCCTCTTATTGGAGGTGAGGAAGCAACGGGATATTTACGTCCATTTTCATTTCATATTGCTACGTATTTACATACGAAGTTTTTTATCTCAGGACTACTAATGAAGACAAATCTGCGGCAACGGTTAATCGATGAATTGAAAAAACAGAGAAATTATCAAAAAATAGATGCAATCCTTTCTCACCATGCGAAACAAACGATTCATCGAATGTTCGATACTTAGGGTACTGTTAAGCAAGATGTGTAAACGATGCAAATGTCTGGGTGTACCGGATGATATTATGGCGGCTTCGCCTATAGCACTACCAAAACCGGGACATGGTTCTCGATCCAAACCAAACGGCAACTCTTTCTTATATAAATTATACTGCAGTTCGGCCATATGGCCGTGCATTTGCAATAAGATTTTATAATCCAGTTTTGGGCAATAGCGTAGAGCAACATCAGGAGGAAAATAAAAGACTTCAGCTTCGCAATTAGGTCCTATTTCGTCGTCATTAATACGTCGAGAAAATTTCTCATAAAATGCGCTTAAAAGATAAGACAACGTAATGAAATGATTAGCAAATATTTGTGCAAACACACAAAGTACTATATAGAGTCGAAGAAAACTTACTCGGACATATGATTTAAGCCTAAAGATTCAAAAAATTCAGCGACTTTTTTATTAATTTTTACCGGAGTCACCATTACTTCCTCTAGTCGTTGCTTAACTGTTGGCAATTGACTTTTCGGATAAGGAGTACGAAACGCTGGGCGAGGATACCAGCTTTGCGATATTATTTGCTCGAAAACAGGTGCCGGTATCCCACCATCACTTTCAGTTAATTGTTGGCCGTAGGTTAAACGTATCGAATAACGCAAATAAGCATGCAATTCTTTATACAATGGCATCATCTCCCATACTATATCTTCCAGTTCACGTTGAAAATTCTCACTATCGTAATAAAGATACCAAGTACGAGATGGTGTCACATGACCTAAAATTAAATCAATGCAAACGACATACTGGTAAATATAAACATAAATTCAAAGCTACGCATAAGTTTATGGTTAAAGGTAATTGCGTTGTGTGTTAAACACATATGCGGACTTGAGCGTATGTGTGTATATGCATGTCTTTATGTCAGCTTGAGTGGTTGCAGTTCTACTTGCCAACCAATGACTTATGGTTGGCAAATTTCCGTAGTTACGTAAAGTACTTAATAAATGATTTTAACCATTAAGTTGGTTAGCACATTAGAGACCATCACCGGGAAAACCAATACAATACACAAAGATGCTAAATCAACTAAATTATATATTGTATTTGAATTTCTCTCTCTCTCTCTCTCTCTCTCTCTCTCTCTGTCTTTCGGTCTCCCTGCATATGTTCTCACCGTTATAGGTGGCGGCAATACGCAAGTAACGCACAAAATCGATAAACGTTGATTTCGCCAAATCATTTTCACCTATCACTTGTCGCCACTTGAGCCAATAATACTCCAGATCTTTCAGGTTCTTTGTGCGTATCACTTGAGTTTTAATTGTCGGTATCATGGCAATCATTTGTGTGCAATCGTCCACGCATATTAAACGTGACGTTTGAAACGATTGCATTGTATGCAACATCTCTTTCGCCTGTTCAAGATCCGCTTTATCTAAACCGTATAATTGCAGTTTGGAGAGTCGTTGCACTTGACGTCGCAAAGTAGCATTTTTTAACTGCTGTACTGGTATCACGCTAAGATTGAGCGCTAATTCATGCACCAAACTGTGATAATCGTTGTCGATTTCCTGTTTAATGGGACCCTGTTGCATAAGATTGTATCCACGGCCCTGCGTGAGACTGTGAAAGATTTCTCGTTTACGATTGTAAACGTGTTGCATGCGTTTCGCAGCCACTAGAAGAGCTTCCTTGGCGTGAGTCTCATAGATACCGGTATGTGCGTACTTATCAACTGCTCTTGATGTCGGTGCGGGTGTCGATTTCGCTGCTTGTTGGCTTATAGCCAAGCGTGCCATACATAACTGTAAGCAAGAGGATGAGAATGATATATAATTCATATTTTTTTGTAATAAAGGCCTGCAGTCAGAGTGTGTACTAAAGATTCTATGAAAATAATATATTAAATAACGCATACACACACACACGTACAAGCGAAAACACAAATACATCTAACTAAAGGTTTATACTACTTACCACAATTATCAATAACGTTGTTGCTGTCATCTTATTTAACAATAACAATAATAATAATAATAATGATATTAAACTTGAAACGATTTTCCTGCTTAACGCTTTTTAATAATGCGATCTGGAAGATTGTCGCTTGATAAATTCAAGCTTTAATATAAATCGCATTACTTTTACGCTTTCATATCTCAAAAGAATCTTTCCTTCGTCGGAGCATGAAAACACTCAGATACACAAGATAGAAATTGATCGTGATATTATTATTTTTTGTAGCAATTCCAAGTTACACTCATTTATTTATTCAATGTTTTAGTTTACAAATTTTATATATATTTTTTTTTAATACATTTTGCGTTTCATTTTTAATGTTTATAATGAAAATTGTGGGACAAGACTAAAGAGTTTTGTATTGAATCTAAATCTTTTAAAAACGCTTATCAGTTCATTTCAAGACACATTCAAAGGAAATCTCTCTTCGAATTCATAAAATGTTTACTTGCTTATAAGAGCCTTAGTGGAATGTAATCAATCTTTTCTCTTCATTGAATTTCGTTCTTGTAAAGTAATGAAAACAACTGTTTGATAAAACAGCAACGAGGGAGAAAGAAATGACTGGAATATGTGATCGTCATCGTCATCTCCTTCTGTCAGCAGCAGACATTTTGTTGGCGAGAGCTACTGCTGTACAAGCTACGATAGTTTTTTGAGAAGTTCATGCGTAATCTACGGGAAATGTATAGTAAGTATATCATTGAATCAAACCGTTGGAAAAAATTTAATAACTGCACGTTTCATATTATGTGGCGTAATACAAATTCGTTCTTAAAAACGTTCTTTAGAACTTCTTTATGTTTTTTTAATGTGAACCAATCAATCACTCAAGTAATGCCCCTTTTTCTTGTAGTAAGAAAGAAGTGATCACAGAGAAAGATATAAGGAGCGGCCGCCGCCTACTTTGGATGAGCTCAACCGATAAGTGTAATGGCTTCCCTGTCTGAGTTACGACCAAAGTGTTCCTACGAATCGCAATTCAATTCAACTCTCACTACTCACTTTTCGACTGACTTTGCCTTCCGCAAATATATTGTTTATGTACGCTTTTCCAAGCCAGTAGCAATTACCTGAATTCTTCGTTCACTTTTAATCCGTTAATCCGTTAATCCGCTAAACTTGTGTCAAGGTAATGCGTCTTTATTTAAAAATTGTTGTCTTGAAAAAACGTGTAATTTCCATGAAAACTCAAATCATGTAATAACGGCATTTTCGTAACCATATAAAAAAAAAACATTTTAATTATATGAAAAAGGAAAAGTACTTATGTCAACTTCTTCTTATCGGCTTCAAAAGGCTTCGTTGATTCAAGTTGCTATTGCCAGCAGTTCGTGAATTGAACTAAAATCTTGCTAAGTACATTTTCTTGGAAGAATTGCTTCCGGTAAAATTGCTTTATACGAAATTATTTCAATAAACAAACCCAGTACACGTCGCTACGCTCTTTCAAGTCGTGTCCTTTATCTCTCAATTTCATTCCTTGACGTAAATGTTTATTATTTTTTAATGAATACTTTCAAATTTATTTTTATTGCATTCTCAATATCCCGCTTCCAAGTTTTGGTAAGTTTTGAAGGAACGAAAACTTGCATGTTTTTTGGCTTTCCTTGGGAATCGGATTGGTCCGATTTATGGTTACTTCGTGCTGGTAAATTGATCCAATTGTATACGAATAGTCTACCAATCATAGATGATGGATTAATTTGAGAGCCGGCTGAACGTATGCATTGAACAACCAATAATTAGCTGTACAGTGACGCAAAACTATTGGCCAATAATTATGTGTCGATCCTGATCAAACATGGATATTGATTTCTTTTAACAAAGTTGGCGAATGTATTGAACGACTCAAAATTGTTATGTGCGAGGGCAATTTTTACCAAATTTCATCTGATTGTCTGTGAATTTTAAGCGATTTACCTTAAGAGAGGGAGGATTGCAACTAACTCCGCTAAGTGTGCCTTTGGCACATGACACAATCGTCTACCAATACAAGTCGAGTTGAACTATTGTTAAGTATAAACCATCATCCTCTTTGGCCCGATTTTTTACGAATTCTAACAAGGCTTGTGCTTTAACAACACAAGGTTGAATATGAACATCAAATCGTTATGTGAATCTAATAAAACTGCTAGGACAAGAATTGATGCAATCCTCTTAGGGTTACATTTATCAATGTAATAGTGCATCGTGATCAATTATAATTCCTTTAAATGTAGTAAAAATTTATTAAAATATGCCTACCAAGTGCACACATTTCAAATGTGGGCTTCAGAAACAAATGAAATGTCAACAAGTCTCAAAGACGCATAGGCAATATATTGAAAAATGGTTTGCGTAGCCAAAGCATTGCAAAAGCATTCGCCAATAGCGTTTTCTTTGTTACTCGAACGCGATACAAAACGGAATTGGCTTTGCTCCGTTTCGAAACTGGTGACGAAAAGTGATTTTATTTTAAATATTCTAAGAGCAAAAAAGAGCAAACTAATTTTTTCCATGACATTGACCTGCCGGATACAACAAAATAGATTCGCGAAAGACTTCACTGCTAACGGCTTGTCCATGCAGGTTAGTCAACACACGCACCTTCTTGCGATTAGAACTCGCTTGCATTGATGGGTTACGCGTTGATTGAGCAGCGCTTTGATACGACGAAACGTTCAATGAATGGTTTGCAGCAAAGAAAGAAACTTTCGCTGGCGTGATATCCATAATTTGTCGAAATATATATTTAACGAGTGTTTTTCTGAAAAAAGGAAACGGATTTCCTGTGAATATGATATCAACAACATATTATATACATATTATATAAAGAAGAATAATGAATATAGTTCCTATAGATTTCGAGGAAACTGAGCTGCGTGCTTTATAATCTGTGACATGGCCGATGTATTAAGCGATAAGTTGCTGGTGATGCAATAATTTCAAGGAATTCCGATTTCGAATGGCCTTTAAGGGAGTCCGACTTGACATTTTTTAACTACTTTCTATACAGTTATTGGCAGCTTTGTAGCCATCCATGTCGAGTAAACGTACGAACGTAAACTGAACAGCAATTTTACGGTCGAAATATTATTTACGACAAAAAGGAAAATGCATAATTTATCGACTGTTGTAAAGTATTCGTTATTCGTCGTAGAAAGTCGATAATAAATAGCCACTGAGTTTAGTCAATATTGACTTTTCGGCGATTTTTTTCTATTTATGCATGCCACGCTCTATTTAGCGAACAAAGTACTTGAAAACGATATTCATGATGCGATTCTTTTGTGCAGCGATCTCTTGGCAGCCATTGGAATGATGTTATGTAGAACTGTGTAACTATGAAATAAAAAAAAATTAGTTATAAAAGTTGGCTTTCCCTCAGTGCAATTTTTATTTCCTAGTATTTTTTTCTCCTAATGCAGTCGGCCACGGTCCATCATTGAGTACCCTACACTTCGCTTAACACAGTAGTTCACATAATGACTTTTTAAAATAAAATCGTTGTATGTGTAATGGAGTTCAATAGGAATCATTTTCAATAGCAAAGTGTACCAAATTTCGTCAAAATATGTGTAGATTTAATATTAAGATGCATGGGTAGACATCGGACGGTGACACCAGCTTAGCTCGATCGGTATAATAGAAAGTGGAAATATCTCGCGCCCTTCTGGCTGTTGCATACATCCTTACAAACTTTATATACCCTGTATCGCAATTGGTGTGAAGTGTAAATATCATATACGCGTGTGTATATAGAATAACGGTTTGTTTTTAAAAATATTTACAAAAGAAAATGTAAAAAGTGAAATCGTTCTGAAAAAGTAAAAAGAAAATTCTAATAAATGCCTACATATGATAATTCCGCTCTTAAAATGCAGTCTTAATGACAACAGCTAAACTTGAACGGAAGACGAAAAACTTCAATAAAGTTTTTAACACTCAATGGGCGCCGCGCGTATATTATTTAAAAATTACAATGCAGCACAATTAAGTGCACATATAAAGTAATTCATAGTTAACTGTATATGTACAGACATATGCTTACACACAATACTGGCATACTACTCTTACTTTCATTCTTATGTATTTTTCTTTGTTCTACTTTAACATGAAAAACAAAAAAAAAAGTAAATTTTCAATTTACGCCAGTTTTTACGGCGACGTATATACTCACACGCGCACATACGCAGTCACTCGTGCCTATGTAATCGACGTAGGAAAAAAGTTAACATGATACCAAGGCAAGCATAGGCATGATGAACATATGAACCATGTGTTGCAGAAATGCGTTATGCACTCAAAAATTGGTTGGTACTTTTTTAAGAAGAATTCCGATGAACATTTTGTTCTCTGTTGCAAGCATTCACATTTATTGCCTTCAAAAGGAAGTGGAAGCATTTGGTTGTTAAAAAAAAAAGAAGAATTAAAACAAAAGTGAAAGCTTTAACATAAAACTGCGCAATTTTTACTTCTCCCTTAAGCATCCATTAGGGAATTAAATGTTTTAAATTCAATTTTATTAATGAATTCTACAAATATTTTCCGATTTTCCTCTTCATAAAAAGAATTGGAAAGTGTTTGGTGGGTTACGGCTCACTATTAAACGCTCTATACCGCAATACAGTTATTCGTATAACCGCTTTTTGAAGTAAAATTTTAAGTGGACTGATTCGAACCATTTATAACAGATTTCGCCCTTGGGCTGAAACACGTCAGCGCACCAAATCTTATTCAAACATCTCAAAAATTGTTTGCCTGTAGGCAAACAACAACGATTCAGAATGTCATTCTGAATAAACCACTATAATAAATAAATATTATTATTATTATTATTATAATTTAGCCAGAGAATAAATTGTAAGACTAAAGTCTTAAATCAATAGCATTCTTAAATCAATAGCATTTAAGACTTTCGGCTTTATTAAAAGCTCTACCGCTTTTGAGATTTGAGCCCACGACCATTGAGTTGCTAGTCCAGACTCTTGCCTACTCGGCCACTCAGGCGGATAATAAATAAATAAAATATAAAAAAGTGGGTCTATTTCCAGTTCTTTTAGGTGTTGCATGCATTCGCATAGATTTAATATAGCCTTGCACTAGGGTATAGTAATCATTGTTTTAGCGTAAAATTTTTTTCCTCTTTATTTTAGTTTTTAAATCTGTTTCATTGCAACTTCAGATTCGTAAAGTAAATATTTACTTTAATTTAAATATTTAACCTTTGGAAAAATTAAACAGTATAAAAACAACAAAAAGTGTCAAGTCGAAGTATGGTGTCCGTACTGCTA